TAAAACTGTAGAAACTGTCATTTGCGCGCGTAATTATAATAAGAAGAGTTTTTGTATTTACCACATATTGTCAATTATTAGACTCTTTATCGTTTATCCTACACATACCATATTTATGCACAATAAACTATAAATAAAAACAATTTTTTCTGCGTACTTATCTCAATTTGACCAAAATTTGTACTTACCATATCTGTCCACTAAAATGGTATACTAAAAACAAATGTTTTCATTTATTTTTAAATAAGACAAATTTAATCAACTGCTTCCTAAACTTTTTTCCAGTCAATTTGTAAGTTACTTCTTTGCATAGGTGATGAAAGTGTATTTTTAAGTAATTATTTGAAATAACTTTAATCAGTGAGAATAAATGCTTATCAGTTAAAGACGAATCAAGCAAATGATGAGTTAGTTCAGTGAATACTTTTGATATATCAACTGATCTCAAAACAACACTTGCATTTGCATTTTTAATTCCTATATCATTAGGGAGGGTAATATTTGTTGATGTAAGAAACCTTTGGAAACATCTTTCTGTTCCTTTGCATACCAAAACAACACTTTTGCTTGGTTTAACTAAACCTCCTCTAGACAATTTATTCTCAATAAAATGTAACATACATATGTATGTGTTAAACTGTCAATAATTATCCTTCAAACTTTGGAGATAATTTATTAATTTGGAATATAAATATTGTTTTATATTTTGACTGAATATTGAGTCCAGAAAATTAATGCATTAAATAATAAAATGACTTTTATAATCCTAGAAAGAACCTCTGAGTTGTTTGTACTCACAGTTCTCAGCTAATAGTTCATACAGCATTTGTACAATAATGTTTCTACCCACAAAACTCATGATTTTAAAATTCTTTAAAGATTGTAGGTAGACATCGTTGCTGCTTACCATACAGTTGTGTTATTAACCTTCTAGCACACAGCATTGGGTAATTAAGAACTAAAAGGTACATAAATTATAAACCTCATTTAAAAAGTGTATACTAGCTGAATATTTTAATAATTAAGAATCAAATAAATTTATTTCGCCATTTTATTTTCCTTAAAAATAGTTTACTTTTCTTATTCGGTCAGAATTTTTATACGATTCAAACCGCTAACAGTTCTAACCGACGCCATCTTGGTAGGCCAAATTTGGCTTCAACTTTTTTTACGAAATACAATAGAATACGCTATCCAGTTATTATTTTGAGATCAGTGAGATGGACGATTGTTATAGATCTGAGGCGCCGCGAGTAAACAAAAACCTATGTCAGCTATAATTTTTAGCGTCATTTTTACTGAATAATTTATAAAAGTAAACCGACGTTTTTCCGATAATTTCGCTTTTCTAACTACTTTTTTTAAAAAGTACAATTACCTATAACACTCTAACTTTTTTTTTTAATTAATGCATTGTTATTAATCAGAAATAGCTCATCTGTTTTAAAATGTTAAATTTGATACATTAGCGCTTTTTAATAAGAACTTATTATTAATAAAACTTAGACGTCAAAATCATACTTTTGTAAAAAAGTGATATTTAGTTTGCAAGAATGAATACTGCAAAGTGAAACGAATTTTCTAGATGTTGTCGGTAAAACTGTAGATTATATAGATCGAACTATAGATTACTCGTGGTCTCTATTCCCTACACTTAGTTTTCACTATTATTTTAAGTATTTAAATTTCTCATTTTTGTCGGAAGTTTTGTCTCACTTACAATTTTGTTTTAATATTTTTCTCTGATTAACTTTTTTTTTCATGTAAAGATTTCACTTGAGTTTATAGATCATATAATAAAAAAGTTTTGTTTATTTAAAATCTTTTTAGAGTTTTCAGGTGTTATGGAATGTTTAAATATTTCTTAGGCTAAGCGAGACTATCGTTATTTTGACGCAAAATCAAGTAAAAATATTCTCAAGTTAAAAATAGTTAACATCTGTTCTCTATTGTTTTGCTATTGTTATTTGTAACAATGAATAGCGCGGATATCTTGCTTTTAAATAATACGTTAAACGTCCATCTAATAATACGTCCTTGGTCGAACCAAGTTTAATCAGTTTTGTATTGCATATCATGCACCCTACCTTCGGAATAAAATTGTTTTGTCCAATTTAGAAAAGGATTTTACTTTTCTCATTTTCAAGTATAAACTGAAAAATTTAATTATTTTAATGGATAATTGTAATTATATAATTCTTTAGAATTTTTATTCTTTAATACGTTTTACTTTGTTGATTATTTTTTGATGTAGTTAATATACACACGCTTGTAAAAGGTTCTGATGATAAGATCAGTACGATCTTCCTTTAGAAACCTTGTTTGTGTTTGTGAAAGTAATTTGTTTACTACGACAACAAATGTAAACTAAAATAAAAAGTAATGTTTGGATATAAAACTCTCAACAACAAAAAATATACTCATATAAACTACAAGCTTACTCACGCATACATCACAAAAAAGAAATAGCAACTAAAATAAAGAAACGTTTTGTATTTTG